TGGCATTCAAACTTAACCCATTCCTGCTTTTTGTTACCAAGTGATTAACTAAAATTTCGGGGTATAATTTTTCAGGAAATCTCTAAACCGGTGACTAGGCATAAGTTTGGGTCGCCTGATTTGGATGACGCTGATGATGATGCGGGGTCGTACTTCATCAGTGCTGTATGTTGGAAGAGTGATAGCCCTACCATGCTAACTGCTAACAGTCAAGGAACCATTAAAGTGTTGGTTCTTGCGGCATAGACACAACTAAATGGAAAACTAAAAGAAGGTTTCACGAGAGAGAGTTGTTTCTACGGTTCGATATTCGGTTGTTGAAGTGTAAATGCTAGGATTGAGATGCAATGCCAGTGAATGTTTCATTATTTGTTATACAAAGAAAAGATACTAAAGGTGCCAAAGAAGGTGAATATATATAGAGCAAAAATAGCTTTGGTTTGCGAGTAGACTTGTGTTTTATGCCCCAAGTCTTCGTTTCTTGAGTTCTCTAAGCCAATGGCTTATTGCGTATATCACAAAATTGATATAAACCAATTAGATATTGAACAGGAAGAGTAATAGCATGTTAATATAAGATTATAAGCACTGAAAATCGTATATTAAAGGTGAAACCCAGGTCGGTAGGTTTTTCCGAGGAATATGCAGAAGTTCGTAGTGGACCGCGGTCCCGGGGTGATGGTTAGGCCGAGGCCAAGAGAACCCTGTGAATACCAACATTGACAATGATCCAGAATATAAATCATGAGGATTGAAATAGTTTCTTCAATAACAAATACAAACTTCTTTAAAAGTCTCTTTTTCTCTCTTTAAAACTCTCTCTATGAAACACAATTCCAGTAACTTTTGCCACCAGCCTTAGCCTTTGGCTTGGGTGCCGAAGGCATCCACCCTTCCTTCATTCCTTTCTTCTTTCCTCTCATCTCTATTTTCTCCCAAGTTTTTCTTGGTTTCTCTCTCCTTTACCCCTCCCTCTTTTCCTCCCCTCTCATCTCCTTTGTTCATTTCCCCCTCCCAGCTTCCTTCCTCTTCTTCCTTCGCCTTTTCCAGTTTTCTCCCTTTCTTTTTTATTCTCGGTTCTCTGCTGAGCGTAATTTCAGTTTTCCTTGAGTCGAGTCTCAACTATCCTGGGTTTCATGTCCCTTATCCGATGTTTTTCGCCTACTTTTACTGCTTTCTTTCTTTTATTTTTCTATCATCTCCTCTCCCTAGTTGTGATACTTCATCCCTATCCTACCATGTGCTTGGATTGGTGGGCTCCGATTAGAAATTGGATACCATATCCACTTCTCTCCCTCACTTCCCCTCCCCCCAACTAGCATATGTTACTTGTTTGTATATATTTGCAGGGGCTCTTCTAGGATCTATTTTCTCAATTCGGAATTTGGCTTCCTCTGAGGATGTGATGGCGGCAGTAGTGTGGTCTTTGCTGCTGGAGGTAGGGTTTTTTATTGTTTGTTTTGCAGCATTCAGGCCTAAGCTGGTGTGGGCCTCCCGTTGTTTCTTGGATTGCCGCTCTCATTTTGCTTGAGCCTTTTACTTTCTCCGTAGTTGTCTACTCGGTTCTTTTTGGGCTGTGTACTAGTTTTTTATTATAATAAAAATAATGTTCGTGATAAAAAAAAATAACAAATACAAACTGCTAGTTTAGGGACCACTCGACAACTATTTCGTTTTTAGATTTTTGTTTTTAGTTTTTATTTTTATTTTTTTTAACATTGAAAATTCGTTTGGTAACTACTTCGAATTTTTAGTTTTTTTTTTTTTTTTTTGGTTAAAAAAATGAAAACCAAATACTAAAAGCCAAAATTTGAAAACTTAATAAAGTAGTTTTTACTCTTTAGTTTTCAAATTTCAAAAATAATAAAAACTGAACGCGCTAACATGGTTATCAAAAGACTTGTTTAGCATTAGATTGGATTTACTAACTCATTGTTTCAATACGTTTAAAGGTCATTTAATAACCAGTTCGTATTCAAATTTTTTTGGGGATTTCACAACTATCATTAATGCTAAATAGAGTAAGTATATGGCGATTGAAGATTATTATTGAAGACATTCGTTGATTGCCCCATCATTTTTCAATATTTTTTGGAGTTATGTTTTTAGAGATAAATTTTTTCCGTTAACAAGATTTTGAGAGAACTTATTTCATGTCGTGTTAACTGCTTCTAATCCTTCCATTTATTTGCTATCACACACTCGTTCTTACTTCTCATACTTCTCTTAATTTTTTGTCGTTAGATCGAGTGAATTGAAGAAGATGAATGACAAATAATTAACAAGAGTGTGTGGAAGGTAAAAATAAATGTGTAAATAACACTATCCTTTAGAAGACACACACTTTGGTAACGGCCGCTTCCGCTTTCTGTCCGATTTTGCTTTTCTGTTGTATTGCATGGTGGGGATTGTACTCGTGATTTCTCTTTCTAATGCATTTTCTTTCCAACTTCAAAAAATATTATAAATTATGAGAATTAATCCACTCCCCCACCTTCTTTGTGAAACCCCGTCCTTAATTTGTTGTATTTTCATATTAACAAACTTATGAACTTACCATTGTACAATTGAGTTGACTTTCGTTGACCGTCTCGTCGAAACATGTAGTCTTAATTTAATTAATTTATTTGTATCGTACTCATCGCCATGAACGCATAGGCAAACGGATTCGAATTCAGATGTATAACGAAGATTCTACGTTCGAATGTTAACCACTTTCGGATATTTTGTGTTTCGTCTTATGCATTCTTAAATTGTGAACCAAGGGGACCCACTTGAGATTCTTGTCCCCTTAGCCTTACCCTATATGAATACCCCCTTCACCTTTTTAGATTTTCTTACTTCCCTTTTTTTATAACTCACTCTCTCTCTATCTCTCTCCCCATCACTTTCTCTCATTCTTTCTAACTCTCACCACCGAACTCTCTCTTTCCCTACAACCCCAAGCTCATCACCTGGACTGAGAGGCTTCGAGAACCTCAGACCAAAACTTGGAACTCCACTATGACAGCCACAGTGTACACCTCCCCCGACGAGCTCCAGTGGCTTTCGAAACTTTTTCGATGTAGGTAAGCTTCTAGAAACCCTTGGGATGTGTTTTAGGGTTAGATTGAAGCTTGTTTTAAGTTGTATACAGGTGTTAAACGTAGAAATAGCTCGGAGTAAGCTTTTCCCAGTTTTTTTTTCGAGCACCGCCATTTTCGAGGTGTTTTTTGGCCAAATCACGACGAGTTAGCCATCGTGCAAGGTATCATTCTCTTCATCTCGTTGAGAACTATGATTTTCATTTTTGAATCACTCGATTTGGTTGAGTAATGAAGAAGTTATGAGCGTTTGAAGTTTTACCCAAAAACTAGCCAACCCACGACCTGAAACAAGGTCAACCCGACCCAATTTCCCCAAACTTGAATCCTAACCCAAATGCAACCCAACACAGCTATGCTACCCAAGCCCAGAACCCAAATTCGACCTGACCTGGTCGGATCCCAGATCTAAGGCAGTGCGTGGGTCTGCGTGTGGGCGCACATCTTGGCCGACGCATGGAGCACACACGCCTCCACCAAAGGTACTGTGCTTCACCGCCATGGACGGCAACCAAGGAGGCGCAGGCGAATTTTTTGGCCAACTTTCCGGCAACCCAACTCGACGGGTACGGTGGTGAGTGGCCTTCCGAGCCGCCGCCCCATGACGGTGGGTGCGGCGGTGCGTGGGGGTACCCGAGGTTCCTCCTTAGGTTTTTCGACATTCTGAATCTGTTTATGACGTTCGTTTCCTAAAATTCAATCATGTTAGTATAGTTTTATTAATTGGTCCCTTTATGTGCTTAGGTGCATTTGTTAGTAGCATTTCTGTCCTCTCTAGTTTGCACGACTCTTCGACTACGGAGTATCTATGAGTGGACTCCTTCCAAAATGCATGATTTTACTATTAGAAATGCATACATGAAAAACATGATTTTATGGATACATTTTATGAAACGTTTATGAGAAAATTGGTTTCATGCTTTATGAAATATCATGCCTTATCAGATTTACTTTCTTTGAAGGATTTATGATTTTATATTATGAACATGTTTTATGATATGATGTTTGAGCTACTGAGTTCCGATTAGATATATTTTGGAAATATTATGTTCATGTTTTTATGTGCTGATTTAGTGGTTACTCATACGATCTGTCTACGGGCGAATGATATTGCCTACGGGCGAATGATATTACCTATAGGCGAATGAAGATTTAGTCCTGCCTATGAGCGAATGGTATAATTATATAGCTTCGGTCGGGTGATGTAGGGCCTACGGGTGAATGATACTGCTTTCGGGCGATTTTGATACCACTACTAAGCACACTATTTATGATATTTGTTTTATGAAGTTTTATGGCACGTTAGGGTTTTCAAAAAACTTATTACTTATTATGCTATATAAGTTTTCTAAACTAGGGGTTAGTACGTTGAAGAATAATTGTTTTAGTATTACATATATATAAGCTTGGTCCATTGATATTTTGTTTTGCGCCCCCTCAGAACCTAGGAATAAGGCATACGATTCAAGCTACGAGGCATTCCCATACCAATGGCTTTGTGTCCTTCTCTTCGCTTGGACATTCTTGTAATAGCACTTTCTGTTACACATTTCGCTTGTATTCTGAATTAATAGTATGCTTTGAACATGTCGTGCATTATCACTATTATTTTGTTGGCAGTTTAACTTATTATATTATTTTGATAAGGTTGTATTTGAATATTACATTACGTAATTACGCGAAATTTATATACATGTTTCTTATGTTCCCAGCATATGCATTCATAAAATAGCTTGAGTCACTCTCGGATGTCTACCAGCACGTGGCCATCTCGTTGTCCTTCGGATACCGGGATTGGAGCGTGTCATTCTTAGTATAGATAGTATCATTTGTAAAAACAAAAACAAAAAAAATAAAAAAAAACAAAGAAACAGTAGCCGTAGGATCTGTTTTAATGAGATTTTGCGGGTGGGATTAACTATGAGTTATAACCAGACATGTAGCTCTGAGGAACACAGACGCCCAATCCTTCAGCCCTAAATTGTCAAATCCCTAACCCTAAACCCCCAATTCCCTCCCCTTCCTCTCAATCTTAGCGTAATTGAGCTTAATTTCGTGTCGAGGGTCCGAAAAGAAAATGGAAGGATTTGAAGTGGAATGGAAGAAACAGGCACAGCAATGGTGGTCTCAATCCCTTCACTACGTTCATCGCATTCCGCCTCAACAGATTTATGCCGCCATGGCCGTACTGCTATTCACCACGTTTTTGCTCTTACTGGGTATGTATGTATATATGTATATTTGCAGTATAAATTTAGTTCTTGAACTTGTCTGTAATTTTAATTATTTTGATTTGTTTATATATTTTTGTGATGTAGTTAGGTTGTTTAAGCGCCCAAAAGCTAATACGATACTAGTGACTGGGCTTAGCGGCAGTGGCAAGACTGTGCTTTTCTATCAAGTAAGCACTTCCGCCGCTTATTCGATTTTCTTCGTTAAATTAATAACAGTATCATATAACTCAATGTGTAGTAGATAGAAGATAGATTCACCAATTGACCTGCTTTTCACAATCGTTCGTTAGAGCCCGCTAGTCTCATGCTTGGTCCATGATATGTAATGCAATATAATGTTTATGTTAGGCCAATTAATAGGTTAAAAATTGTGCAAGCTTTCTACGAATTGGTTTTGCGTATGGGATTGTTTTTCCGTCAACATTGTAAGATTGTCGTGCATTTGAGATATTATGTTCCTCCTTTGCTTATGTTGTATCCTTTGGTTTTCTTTTCTTTTTATATACTTTCCGTACTCGATGCTTGTTTCTAATAAGATTGCAGCTTGGTAGAAATTCTGAATGCTTTTTTGTTATGTTCTTTTTCCCCCTGTTTTGAGTTTCCTTGATGGCCTATTTATTACATTGCAATGTGGATCTGACTTTTGTGATATGACTTGATGCACATGCCAGCTTCGGGATGGCTCTTTTCATCAAGGTACTGTCACATCTATGGAACCAAATGAGGGAACTTTTGTGCTTCATTCTGAAAAATCAAAGGTGTATTTCAGCTTCTTGTGATCATATCAGATCTTATGTATTTATATCCCTTTGATGTGTGCAAGACCCTAACCACAAACAATTTCGTTGCTTTTCCTTTTACTGTTGTCTTTGTTGATTGTCCTTCAGGCACTTGATGATGCTCACCCTTCTTTTCATTGTCCCTGACAGAATGGAAAGCTAAATCCTATTCATGTTATTAATGTTCCCGGGCATTCTCGCCTTAGAGCCAAACTAGATGATTTCCTCCCTCAAGCTGCTGGTATAGTGTTTGTGGTTGATGCTGTGGAATTCTTACCAAATTGCCGTGCTGCTTCAGAGTAATATTTTCCCCCTTCTAGTATATAGCTAGAATGTGATATTGAACAATGACTATTTTGCCTTCAAGATTATGCTTACATCCATTTTACTACTTCGTGGTAAATGGTGCCAGCCCTACGGGTCTAAGGTCGTAGAGTGATAAAAATGATCATAACAGACAGAGACACCCAAAATTTGGGATGTAAGCATATAGATGTTTACTTTGCATGAAGCTCAAGTTTTTCACTGTAGAGGATGACGTTTGAAGCTTTATTTGCATCAGGTACCTGTATGATATTTTGACCAAGGCGAGTGTGGTGAGGAAGAAAATTCCAGTTCTTATTCTCTGCAATAAGACAGACAAAGTGACTGCACATAGCAAGGAATTTATTCGAAAACAATTGGAGAAGGAAATGTAAGATTTGAATTGTTCTAACATCAGTGTCTTTCTTTTCTCTGATTGATCTTAAACTTGTAACACAAGCTTTCAAGTGGTGTTAATGAGATAACTATATTGGTCGTCTTTGTATCAGGAAGATATTTTATTTTGATAACATCCGGGTTTTCCGTAAATATATTGCTTCCAGTTAACAGTTTTTGCCGTGATTTTCTATTTGGCATCACATTCAGGACAAATTTTTCATTCAATGCTACTCTTGTTTTTTTAACCCTTGTTTCTGCAATTGTTCATTAGCTCGAGAATGCTCTGTGATGTTGTGATTCATATTCATCCTGTTTCTGATTCTTATCTCGAAACCCTGATATATTTGTGACATAACATCTTACAGTGACAAATTACGAGCATCAAGAAGTGCAGTATCAACAGCTGATATTACAAATGAGTTTACACTCGGAGCACCTGGAGAACGATTTGCATTTTTGCAGTGTCAAAACAAAGTTACAGTTGGAGAAGCTTCTGGCCTTGGTGGTGAAATTTCCCAGGTGGAGCAATTTATCAGAGATAACGTAAAGTCGTAGGATATTTGATCCCATTTCATGAATTTGTGGTAATTTCTTGTAAGTTAAAAGATGTTCCAAGTGATTATGGCTCATTGCATTTGGGATGCTCACGCTGCTCTTTTAAATGATTTCTTTTTCCCTTTTAATTGCACTTTTGCAATGTCTAGCCATCCTTGTTTAGTGCTAACCACACGTCCATTTTTACTTCTCACACACCCCTCTTAATTTTCGGCCGTTGGATTGAATGGATTGAAAAAGATTAATGGCCAAAAATTAACAAGGGTGTATGGGAGGTAAAAATTGGTGTATGAATAGCACCATCCAAAAACAAAATATGTACAAAACAAAGTTTTGATAAATGGGAAAAAAAAAATTATGTAGGTCACCGCTAGTGGCAAATTAATTAAAAGACCAGGTTGGTCTCACGCTCTCCGGAAGCTCGAAAAAACTTATGGGATAGTCTTTTGAGGACCTTCTGATTGTATAATAGGGACCTAAAAGTGTCCACCAAGTGCTCAATGAAATCTCGTTTGACAAAATCTCGGTAGGACTTGCTCTGCATCTGTCGACAGATTTGCTCGGAAGCTATGGATACATGTCGATAGGCTTACAACATTATTCGGCAGACGATTACACAAGCACCAAGTGCTTGACAAAATAGATCACTTTATAAACTGAAAAAGATTTTGCACATCTCACGTGCTATTTTCGTCTAAGACAGAGAGACGGACTCAATAACATAGAGAGGGTATGGTTTCCCATTTTTTATCCGACAAAGAATGATTCATGACTCCAAGTCATTTAAAAATAAAACAAAATAAGTCACCTATCATGCGCAGTTTTGCCTAAGTGTCATAACCAATTGTCTAAATGCCTAAGCATTAATTGTGGGCACCTAGGTCTCTTTTGAGAACACCAAGTAGTAGTGGCCTGAAAGGTAATGGTGATGGCGGCATGGGTGATAGCAGTAAAGAATGTGGTGGTGGTGGTGACGGCAATGGTGGTGAGATGTAATGGTGGTGGTGGTGATGGTGGGAGGGGTGATGGCAGTGGAGAATGTGGTGGTGGTGATGGCGGTGATGTTGGTGGCATGTGGTGACAATGTGACGGCAGCGAAGGTGGTGGTGGCAACAATAGTGATTGAGGTGCCCGCTATGATGGTCATGGCAAGGTGGTGGCGGCAGATGTGCTTTTATTTCTTAAAACTCTAACTTTGTTTGTCACTTAGTAATACAATCTATTAGTATTATTTCTCTCTTGTAAGTGAAAGACATTAGGTTTGTTTCTCATTGAAGGCGTATTCGAACAAATTTTATTATGTCTGGATCATTATGTTGCTTAGCTTAAGTCCCCCACCCCCTTAGTGTAATATATTTTTGTATTCATAAAGAAAACAAAACATGAATGTTGTTATAGCATGCATCATGAGGATCAATCATGATACAACAATAGAAGTTCAAAGGAACTTGCATAGACTGGTTTTATCTAGAACACATAACACCTTCTATACTTCAATCAAGAGTTCATTCTCTAAAGTGTGTATTTGATCAGTCAAGGATAATGTGAATAAATTAAGCCCCTTGCATGTTTTGTAAAGAAGTCATTTTGGACATGCTAGAGCTACAGCCTATGTCGTTGATATGAATCTCACTAAAACTTTGGAGGAGTTTGCGAAAGCTAACTCACACTCTAAGTCGAACTTTGAGATGAAGGATCTTGGACTTGTTCATGTCTCGGCATGAGGTTCAAGCATTATTCTAATGGTATCCTAGTCACCAATCAAATTACCCATGATCATCTGTACGCTAGATCCAAAGTGACACCTTTGAAGAGGTTATGGAATCCAAAGTTCCATATCTGAGTACGATTGGAGTTTGTTGTACTTAGCTCATTGCATTAGGTTGGACATCTTTTTCGATGCGCCTACATACCACCATTAGGTTGGTGAAAGACGTTTATATATATATATATATATATATATATATATATATATATATATATATATATCTTTATGGAACTACGAAATTTGGGCTTATTTATCCCTAGCATCTCTAGATCCAATCCTTCATCATTGGAGTGATGCTTGCCTTGTTAGTTATGTTGACACAGAGTTCCTTATCAAACCCTCACAAGGCACATTCTCAATGACGTTTTATGCCTTTATCGTTGGGAATACAACAATATTTTGGAGGTCCATTGAATAGAACTTAGTTGCGATGTCTTCGAACCTTGACAAGCTTGCGGTACCTCATTACGACGCTACACCTCACTACGCCACATGTGAGTGAGACACGGTTGAGAGCTCATGTTGAGCTTGTTCGAAGCACTTGTATATTTTTATTCATCTTTGAGTCTCCACAACGATCCATGAAGACTCTGCCACTTGTGTCAACCCAAGGAGACCATACCGTGCTTATGGCGTCTAAGAAGAGTGAAATCAAGAAGATCTCATGTCAAGACAACCTCATTGATCTCTACACAAAGTCACGGCCGAAGTCCACCTTCCCGAAGTTTGTCGGAGGAGTTGGATTGCCTACACTATCTTATTTGCAATATTGGTAGTTTTCAAGGAGAGTTTTGTCGAACTTAGCTAGAGTATTTTGTAGTACATTCACTTGCCTTAATATGCTCTTCATTTTCACTAAGATTTGATAGTTTGATGAAGTTTTACCGAGACACCCAGTTTGGGTTGGTCATAACCTTGACAACCCTGCCGACCCTCTCTCAATATTTAATTACTCCAACCGTTTTTAATTTTTGGGTAAATTACACAGTAACCCCTCAGGTTTGAGGTCTTGCACAAACCCATACAACATCTTTAAAACATTTCACTTTTATACCTCACGTACAATTTTATTTCAAAATAATACGTCCATTAGTTTTTTCATTCATTAATCCGTTAAGTGATGACGTGGCTGCCACATGACTGCCAAATGTGTGCCACGTGACAAAATTAAAATTTTTTTTTTTAAAAACCTAAATCTTCTAACAAAAAAAAATAATAAATAAAAACTTAAATCATAACCCTACCCACGTACCCTCTCCCCCCCCACCCCAAAACCAGAAACCCAGAGCACCCTCCCAACCCTCGACCCTCCCTCCCCAGATCCCCATTCCTACAACGAGTTCGTCTTCTCCCCGCACCCACACTCACCCTCCCTCCCCCTTCTCCTTCCTCCATGTTCATCTTCTTCCCCCGAAACCCTTTCCTGCTACCCGAAAAAAAAAAAAAAAAAAAAACAACCCAGCTCGTCTTCCTCCGCACCCGCGACCCTCCCTCCCCAGATCCCCATTCCTACAACTAGTTTGTCTTCTCCTCACACCTGCACTCACCCTCTCTCCCCCTTCTCCTTCCTCCATGTTCATCTTCTTCCGAAAAAAAAAAAATCAACCCAGTTCGTCTTCCTCTGCACCCGCACCCATCCTCGCACCCGATTCCACCTCACGAACCCGGCGATGGCGGTGTAGACGCGATCTGATTTTATTTATTTATCTTTTTTCTTCCATTTCTTTTTTGAGTTACAAGGGGAAGAAGATAGCAGCATGGGGAGAAGGGGGGCTTGAGTGAGATGGGTCGTGGGGTTGGGGGGTGCTACAGTGAGGTTGGTCGCAGAAGGGGGTTGGGGGGGGGATGGATAATCACTGGGGTGGGATAGGGGATCTCGGGAAGGGATAATTGTTTGGGGGGGGGGTGATGGGATCTAGATTTGGGGTTTTTCTTTTGGTTGAAGATTCAGTTTAAAAAAAAAATTAAAAAATTATTTTTTTTACCACGTGGCACAAATGTGTCAGCCACGTCAGCATTTAACGGAGTAATGGATGGAAAATCTAATGGATATATTATATTGAAATAAAATAGTACTTAATGTATGAAAGTGAAATGTTTTAAAGATGTTTTATGAGGTTGTAATAGACCTCAAACTTGAGCAATGACTAAAATATTGATAATATCGGCGAAATATCGCTAATATTATCGTTTTTCAGAGAGACCGATATTTTCCCACGTATCCCCCTAATTGTCGTTAAAATATTACGATATTATCGAAACAATCGTCGTGGCTCTATCGTCAGAAAGGCAGCCGAGGCTACGTCGTCACAGCTGCCCATATCTCTCTCTGCAATCCAGGCTTAGACCCAAGATCTGCGCCTCCGTCGTCGGAAATGAAAAATTCATTTTCTCCATATCCCAAAACCCACTCGGGTTTGAATCAAACTGTTTGATGGATCCCCTTGCCTGATGGTGGTCACCGGAAGGTGAGAAAGGGAAGAGGAACGATCCACAAGTGGTGATGGTGCTCGCCGGAGTGTGCGCCACTGTGGTGGAGGTCATGGTGGAGTGTGGGTGTGGTGTGTCTGTGCTCCGAGAAGGAGTTTTGCAGAGATGGGGGGAGAAGAAACAAGGAGAGGAATGGGGGAGAAGGTTCGAGGGATTGGGGAAGGGGGAAACACGAGGAAGTGGGGTGTGTGTGTGTCTGTCTACTCTGGGAAGGAGAGTCGCAGAGAAGAGATGTGGGGGGAGAAGAAAAAGAAAAGTTTGAAAAGTTTGAAAAGTCAGAAGAAGAAGAAAAGTGAAAAGATGAAGAAGAAGATGGAGCGGTGGGGGGAGAAGAAGAAGAAAAGTTTGAAAAGTCAGAAGAAGAAGAAGAAAAGTGAAAAGATGAAGAAGAAGAAAAGTGAAAAGAGAAAAGAGAAAAGTTTGAAAAGATGAAGAAGAAGATGTAGAAGGAGAAAAGTCTGAAAAGATGAAAAGATGTGAACGACAACAAAAACTTGGGAAAGTGAAAAAGTTTCTGAAAAGATGCTTAGTTTGGTGTGGTAAAGTGCATTAGCCTCTGCCTTATGACAAAATAAGGGGGTAAACAATAATTACCCATTATCCCGTAATAAATAAATTATATAAATAATTTAGATAATATTTTATTATTTGTTTTCTTTTAAAACAACACCATATTACACTCTTGCATTATATTATTTTATTATTTTTCTTTTTATGATCAGAATAAGATAATCTTATATTATATTTTTATGTGGTACTAAGTCACTCATGTATCTTACCATGCAATGTATAAAGTGTAAAATATAGTATTAATTCATTATTTATAAATGATTATGGTGTGTTTAATTTTTTTTCATTAATTACTACATATTTTCTAAACTCACAATGTTTACCAGCTCGCTATATAATCAACTTAAATCAGTTAAATCCATCATGCAATGCATTTCCTTCCAATTTTTTTTGTGATAAACTAATAGATAATTGACTAAATGAACATCATACAAAGTTTCAATAAAAATTTCAAGTTTTTCTGACAATTTTCGTGGTTTTTATTTAATTTTTATCGATATCGATAATATCCTGATATTTTCATAAAAATTTTCGTATTTTTAGACTACTGGTATTTAATACCTTGAACATGAAGGATTACTATGTAATTTACTTTATTTTTTTTAGTTGAAATTTTGTGGAGGAACATTATCCGTCCCCAGACCCCTGAGGAGGCAAATCGTGCCCGTTTCGTGCGCGGTCTCCCCTTTGCCCCACCTCCCCACCCTATACTTCACCGGTCCCACCACTGTCCGTACACAACACGCAGACTCTTCTCTCTCTCTCTCTCTCTCATAGAAGCAGCAGCCTAGGGTTTTAAAGTCAACCATGGATGGAAATGGCTTCTGAAAGAACCCTATCCAATAATCTTCATTTCTTTCTCATTACGCTAATTTCTCAATTCTACAATCAATTTCTTCAACGGCGATATGGGGGGCGCTGATAACAACAACGGCGACGAGATATCAGTGGCCGCCGGCGGACAACAGGCGGCTTCGGGTTCAAGTTCGGCTCCGGCGCCAGCACCCTTACTGAAATCCAACGCCCCGCCGCCGTTCCTGTGCAAGACGTACGACATGGTGGACGACCCGGCTACCGACCCGGTCGTGTCGTGGACCCCCACCAACAATAGCTTTGTGGTTTGGAACCCGCCGGAGTTCGCCAGGGACCTCCTTCCCAAGTACTTCAAGCACAATAACTTCTCTAGCTTTGTTAGGCAGTTGAACACCTACGTATGTCTCTCTCTCTCTCTCTCTCTTTCTATATACGTGTATATATTTCTCACTGTTTAAAAATATGCTTTTAATGGTGATTGATTTTGGTCAGTGATTGGTGGAGACAGAGATTGGTCTTATCTGCGGATTAGTGTTGTATACAGGTTACCCAAATGTGAGCCAATTAGGCGTATAATTGTGCCGAAAAGACCCTAGATTTTCTGGTTAAGTCTTTGGGTCAATGACTACGATACCCCATTTGGTTTCTAAGAGAATTCAGGGTAACATGTATGGAGTGTTGGGTTTTTTCTTTTATGTTTGTTCTTCCTTGGGAGTTGAAGCTTTTGATTCTGGTTTTTTGTTTTCGGGCTACTAATACCACTTAAAAAATGTGCAATTTGAAAGTTTGATCTCTCTTATTCCTGCATTTTCTCAGCAATCAGATGGAGCAGAAGTGGGATAAAGGGGAAAGAATGTGAGGGCTGATTACAAGGTTAATTATAAATGTAGATATTTTAAATATGTTTGTGGCATATGCAATACTGACCCGGCTGAGGGCTAGCTGCTGATGATAGAGCAGGCGGATGTGTTTTCTAATGTTTCATATAACTGATTGATTAAGAACATCTTAATGAGAATATTTCAACATCAAAACTTAGCTGTTTGTTTATTTTTGAGTTGTACATTGTGCCAGTCTTTAAGTTTCTGACATGACCTTTTGACTGTCTGTTCTTGGAACTATGAAGTATTTAGTATGCTAGCTGCTATGTGATCTATGCATAGGCATACTGACTTACTGTCTTTTTTAGTTTTCTAGTATCCTAGTAGTTTGGGTCGTAGTTTTCTCTACGCCTTGGTTATATGTCCTCCTCTTTTTGGTCAGCAACTTGCTAATTGTATGCTTCATATGGTCATTCTGTCTTATGATAGCAAATATATTCACTTACATGTGATGGCTAATGCATTTGACTCTAACCGAGTGTAACGACCACCACTGTGTGCCATTTTTCCATGGATGACTAGAATACTCCATTTGGTTGCTCAGAGAATTTAGGGTAATATGTATGGAGTGTTGGGATTTTTCTTTTGTGTTTTCTTTTTGGGGAGTTGAAGCTTTTGGTTTTTTTTTTTTTTTTTTTTTTTTGTTTTTTTTTGTTTTCAGGCAACTATACCATTTAAAGAAATAAGAATGTGCGATTTGAAAGTTTGATCTCTCTTCTTCCTGCATTTTCTCAGCAACCAGATGGAGCAGAAGTGGGATAAAAGGGAAAGAAAGTGAGTGCATGATTACAAGGTTAATTATAAATGCAGATATTTTAAATATATTTGTTGAATATGCAACACTGACCCGGCTGAGGGCTAGTCAAACCTTTATGCAGGTGATGATAGAGTAGGTGGATATGTTTCTTTATGTTTCCTATTACTGATTGAATAAGAACATCATAGTCAGAATATTTTAACAGAAAATCTGTTGTTTTGGACAGTTTTGAGTTTCTAATTTCTTTGGGTCTGGAGCACCGAGCACGTATGGTGTTTGTGTATTTTGAATTGTACCTTGTGCCAGTCATTAAGTTTCTAATGTGACCTTTTGACTGTCCTTGGAACCATGAAGTATTTGGTTTGCTAGCTTTTATTAGATCTATGACTTGGACATGCTAACTTACTTCCTTTTAAGGTTTCTAGTATCCTTGTAGGTTGGGTCATAATTCTGTCTACGCATTAGACATGGTAACTAGCTAAGCTGTAATCTTCATATGGTTATTCTGTCTTATGATAGCAAATATCTGCACTTACTTGTGATGGTTAATTCATTTTGGGTTCTAACAGAGTGTAATTGGGTTTGTAACGGCCATCACTGTGTGCCATGTTATCATGGTTGAAGATATCACTGTTGGTAGAAATACCACTATTTCTTTTATGGAAAGGTTGCTGGAAATATGGATATAAAATTACAAATAGAACAGTGGTTAAAATTAAAGACATCTGACTGTGATTTAAAAAGGGTTGTGATTTAAAAAAGGGATAATTCTTTTGTCTTTCTACGTGTTTACCTCATTCATTCTTATGCTTTTCCATCTCCCTATAGTGAAAGGAATTTGTTGCCTTTCTGGCCAGAAATGTGAGACAAGAGGTCTCATACTTTTTATCCTGTTTTATGGCTGTTTGATTAAGGTTGGTCTTTGGACCATGGTGACTTTGCATGCAAAGCATGTAAGACATGTTTAGAAAGAACAATTAGATATTTGCCACCATAGCACTCATTGTTATTTTTATTGAGCCATATTTCAAATAGTATTCTATGAAAAATTTAGTTTAGTTCAAACTCAAAGATTATCTGTATACTGCATTCAAAATTGTTTGTATAGAAAATCAGAGATGCAAAACTTGTGAGCGTCTTCTTTCACTATTCATCTTGAAATGACTATGCATTAAGGACATAGCCTGGAAATTTTCATTGTCTGTGGATGTGGAGAAATGTGACATCTATGTGTAAGACTCTTTTTGGTGCTTTTGGAGAGTTTACTTGCTGAATGGTTTCAGTGGGGTGACTTAGACTCCGGCTATGAAACACTTTTGGTTCCTAACATGTCGATGGTCATGTAGTGAGTCAGAGACTGCATGGAATAACTAATTCTATGAAGTTAGTTTTGGAACCTTTTTATGGTTTATGCTTTCCTGTGGACTAGACAGATTGGAAACTGAATTTCGGATAGGCCTCACATGATAGGTTATCTTTTCTGAATGTGATCCTTAATAATGTATCCACATCTATTCTGAATCTGATCCTTAATAATGTATCCACATCTATTTATTCACATCTATTTATTTTTGTAACACTGAGTTACCTCTTCTGCCATCTCCGAATCAAATGGGGAAAGCATTGCAAGGCCAGATTCTTCAGAAAACATTGCTTGAGCAGCCAGTGTTGGCTGGTTTACATATTTTGTTCGTGGAGTGGATAATTGAGTTGTACTCTTCTGGTAGTATTGTGGGATGAAAGAACTCGTTCCTTAAAAATTTTGACGTGGAGAAGTTTCTAAATGTAGGGATTCAAGTTGAGTGGGAGTCCCTTCAGTTCACGTTGAGCTAGGTCGTGAAACCTTCTGATGTTCTTATTTTTTTCTTTGCTTATTTTCGGGATACACTAAGTAGCCTTAAATAATTGTTCTCTTCAACTACATTGATCAATTTGCATTTCTCATAAATGATGGGTGTTTGATCCATTGTATTCATCAATGTTTGTCTGCTTATCCTGATATTGTTTTTGTTTCTTTCATTCCTTTGCTAAACCATGAAAAAGTCCCTTCATTTTTACCTTTTCCATCATGTTGATTGAACCCCTTCACTTTTATTCGAAAAGGGATTTAGGAAGGTTGATCCAGACCGCTGGGAGTTTGCGCATGAGGGATTTTTGAGGGGTCAGAAAGATCTCCTTAAGAGCATCAACCGGCGAAAACCTGCCCATGGACATAGTCATCAACAGCCACAGCCATCACATGGACAGAATTCAATGGGTGCATGTGTAGAAGTTGGGAAGTTTGGCCTCAAGGAGGAGGTTGAGAGGCTAAAAAGGGACAAGAGTGTGCTTATGCAGGAACTGATCAGGTTAAGGCAGCAGCAACAGTCTACTGATAACCAGCTACAAACAATGGTGCAGCGTCTTCAGGGCATGGAGCAGCGGCAACAACAGATGATGTCATTCCTTGCAAAGGCTATGCATAGCCCTGGTTTATTCACTCAATTTGTACAGCAAAATGAGAGCAGTAGGCGCATAACTGAAGTCAACAAAAAACGGAGACTTAAGAAGGAAGGTATTGCTGAGAGCGAGCGTTCTAATACTCCTGATGGACAGATTGTTAAATATCATCCTCCCATGAACGAAGCAGCAAAGGCAATGCTCAGGCAAATCATGAATAGAGATATATCTTCTCGGTTGGAATCTTCTAATAACAGTTTTGATAACTTCCTTATTGGTGATGGTTCATCATCATCATCCGGTGCAGTAGACAGTGGGAGTTCTTCAAGCCGCACATCAGGAGTGACTCTTCAAGAGGTGCCGCTAACTTCAGGGCATGGCCTGCCTTCTGTAATTTCTGAAACACATTCTTCTCCACGGGTCACTAACTCTGGAACAGTTATGAGATCTCCATTCTCAGACGTCAATGCCCTTGTTGGAGCACAAGAGTCCCCATCAATTCCCATACCTCAGACAAATGTAATTATCCCGGAGCTATCTCAAATACCAGATTTTCCACCGGAAGGCTTAGTGGATATTCCTGAAGAAAGCATGGCAGGTGAAGACACTGGTGTTGGATTTATTGAAAACATGGCATCTGAAGCAGGTGATGGATTTATTGACCCCACTTCAGAGGTAATGAATGGGTCATTGGCGATAGACTTTGATAATATTTCCTCAGACATAGAAGCATTTCTAAAGGATTGGGATGATATTATACAAAACCCGGGGGCAGATGAAATGGATTCTACTTGTGCAGAAGTAGGATTGCGTATGGAAAATGAAGAGCAGCAGCCAACAGAGAATGGGGACAAAACCCAGAATATGGATAATCTGACGGAAAAAATGGGACTTCTTACATCAGATACCAAAGGGGTATGATCTATTTATCTGCTAATGTACATTAGTCTCATCACTATCTAAACTCCACAGACAACATACTAATGATCGTATTTTGATCTCGGGTCCTTTATATGGCCCCGTTGAAAACCAGCTGTACCTTCATCTGTATCAGTACATCTCGTTCTTTATTTTGCAAGTCTTATGCGACTAGAGTTTCTAGTTTCCATTTCCCTTTTGATTTTTTGATTTTTCTTGCCAGTGTTGAATGAAACTGGAAAAGGACACCAGCCTTTTATTTGAAGCAATTGATTACCGAACGCTTTCTCTGCATTAGAGCACTTCCAGTGTAGGGAAGGCCTCAATGGCAATTGGCAATTGAATCCCCTCCACTGAATAGTAATTGCCTTTGAACACTAATTGCTTTTTGCATCATTACCCCTAAACTGAGTAACTATGGGCAATAGGCAATAAAATATTAATATTTTTTATTTTATAAAATAATAAAAAATAATTTTTAAATTTTGAATATAATTTTTAACCAATTTCGTCACACCATGTGTCATTATCCGAAAGTAAAATTTTTGTAGATGGATTACGATAAGATTTTTAATCAATTATGTTGTGAGACATGTTTTTAATTGTTTAGCATCGTTGAAAATATTGAAATATGCTGAAAACTGGGAGAAAATTATAAGGTATTTATAGAAAGAAAAAAAATTATAATTTAAAAAAAATTTGTTTGTAATTTTTTGGATCTTTAATATTTTTTTTTAATTTATTAACTTAATTAATCTGGACCGTTGGATTACAAAAAAAAATTGATATCCAACAGTCTAGAATGTGACACATGGCCCACCATAACATTTTTTATTTATTTTCCTTTTCTTTTTAATTTTAAAAGCCTAAAAACTTAGACCGTTGATCTGGAAATCAACGAGTCCAGATTCAAAGGTAATTGAGTGGGGCTGACATGCAGGTCCCAGCATCTGAAAATGTGTCAAAGACGCGCCCCACGCGCTTGACAGAAATTATTTTAGAACGTGGTTGACTTCATGCTGACGTTAGCCTTGCATCAGTCCCCCTCAGGCACTCGGGCATTGGACTCCTGCTTGCCTTCTCCCATGGGCTCCCTTTTAGCCCAATTGCCTGAATGGGCGGAAGCTAGTTTGGGAGGGGATTGGGTTGCTTCGGTTCCCTTTCCACCGGGCTAAAGAGCATGCTGGAAGCGCTCTTAACATACTCTTTGACTTGCTTTGTGTGTGCGTGTTTTGTATTAAATTTTGAATTTAGTTGTGTTTCGCATCGGATTTTGATTCTAGATTGAAAAAAAAAATTCAAATTTTGGTGTTGGTTTTGGTTCAACATTGTTCGGTGTTTTGGTATATACATTATTCTTCGAATTCCATGTTAATTTCATATTTATTTGTGATTTTTCTTTTCATTTGTAATTCAGGTTTTCAATTTTGTGGCAATTCCATGGTCATTTGTCTGTTCTATTTTAGTGATTTAAATTGTTTTGTTTTTTGTGTTTTGTTTTGACCGCTTGGGACCTACCGTTTTAGAGCATCTCCAATAAAAATGCCAAATGCAAAACATTTATGCGGCTATTTAACGTTGCGAAAAACTTTCTATTCTTACCTGATATGTCAATCTTTTTATTTTATTTTATTGTTTTTGTAATATTTATGACTTGTTTATTAAAGAGCGTAAACTCTTGGTTAAATACACATCAAACAAGCTACATATATGGTGGATCCCACTCTTACTCAATTTATAGAAGGATTTGGCATCAATCTCTTAAAATTCTAATAGAAAACAAGTAACACAACACATCTTTAAGGGTACATAGTGCCCGTGATTAAAAAAACAAAGTCCTTCACACATGCTCATGCAGAGAGGCTAGCGTAAGATAATGGAACTGTCAAACAGCTGAGCACAAAACTTTATTCTTTTACTTTTTGGTCAGAAAGAACTTTCATTAAACACCAAATTGATGGATTTGAAACACGAATCAACTAAAATTAGGAGTTAGGAGTTGGCGGAACCCCAATGATCATTTGTGATAAAAAGTAAAAGGCCAATAGTATATTCAATTTTTGCCAACATTGCAATTCTCAGTATTGTATTTTGATTTCATATCAGATACAACTGCATAGTAGTGACATTCGAGAGCTTGCCCATTCGGGTTTGACACAACAATAGAACATTATCCCACTAAGTGGAGTCGGCTATAGAAATCTTAGAATGACAACCAAATTGCTTTGCCTTCTCATATATTGACTCATTTGCCAAACAGACAGAAGAAAACCCAAAATGTTTGTAATCATGTACCAAAGCAGCAATCCAGGAGCCCTCATGCTAGTTAACATCATACATATGCAAGAACGCATTATCCTTCCTGGCTGAAAATCATTTTGGTGGTGCCATATTCCATTTATTTGATGCTTCCTTGTGCTTCTGGAGAAAACCGCCTGATTAAGAAAAAATAACAGCAAGTTACCAACCATTTGAGGTCACAATTCAAATACTGATGAGCGAACGAGCGTTACCAGAATGAAAATCACCACAAGTCAAACAGGCATGCGAAACTAACTTATTTCTGTTTTGGAAGAAACAAATTAATGATCCTAGCACAGGAAGTCATTTCCTAAGTTGTTGGTTCCAGAAATCAAGCATTCAACCCACCCAAATGAAACCTTCATATCCCCAGGAAAAAAAAAATTATAGCCGATTACTGTCAATGTCCAGAGGTTGTCACCTCCATGCCTCTGCCTTCTCCAAGGTTAGAGGGATAATCGCTAGATGGGTTGGCAGATCAAGGGGTGGGGTGTGGGAGCAAGATCAGAGAACAGGAATTGGAGTTATGCTTCTATGACTACACATTCTTTTATGGCATGCCGTGTTTTCTGGCAAGTGGTTTGTTGTGTTCACTACCTGCCCACATTTCAAAATAAATTACAACGGTGGATGTTCATTATCTCCTCTTGCACAAAATGGATGTCAGTGAATTGGAAGGTTCTAAAAAGCAAACTATGATGAGAAAGATTCTAGAGTATGGCTTCATTTCATTTCGTTTCAAGGTATAACTAGTTAGCTTCATAAGTGCTCCCAAACTCAATTAACACCATCACAGATTTACAAAGAAAGGGTGTACATGTTAACATCTTCTTCCCAGTGTATTATGAATCAAACCATATCTTCTTACGACATGAACAAAGACCCTAGGTGGTATTCTGTTTAGAACTTTGAAGCACAAAAGTGGCTACGGGCATAGGATCTGGGAAGGGAAATGACTCTACATGGAAAGTCCTAATTTTGGGGCATCCAAAAAACATGCATAACCATTTCACTGCAAACTAGTAGGAACCAAAGAGGAAGTCAATTAAAAATCAGAATTTAGCAAGGAAATAGAAACAATAGCAGCAATGCAGCATGATTCCCAAAGCATCTGTAACCTAATAGCATTTTCAGTCTGTGAAAAACAGAGAGCTGCAAACGGTAGAGACTCATGGTGTACATGAAGCAGATTAATAAAATTTGAACCACATATAAAGGCAGATTTGTTTTTATGATTACAATGTCTACGTGTTCTATAATAAATACCATTTATTCCATAAACAAGCACAACTAAGGCATGCAGAGAAAATGAATACCATAAGCGCACGATACTCATTGAGTATTACTCAACAGAGAAAATGAACTGGGCATGCTGTACCAAAACAGTTAGCCACATCCAAGATTACTTTCTACATCAAAAGCTGCATAACCATTCAAGGCGGCTAATGCAAATTGCTTCAAACCCTATGCTACAGGTGTTCAAATAACTGGCTTGAGCTGACCAAGTTGGTTCAGGTACTCTACTTCCTGTGGGTTTGTTTCAGTCACAAATTTAGTACATGATCGATATTAAGTTAGTCGACTGTTGGGTGTTATGAAGCCAACAAAACCAATCCCATCGGACTATATATTGAGTGCCAAATATGATGTCTAGTCAACATGATGAGGACATGAGCATCAACTTTAGGTTTACTGTTGAACGAGATGAAAAGAGAGAAACTGATCTAATCCCCTTTGTACGTATGCAAATTAACTGTACAGCTGTCCAAGTTTTCAATGCATTTAAGCTCTAGTTTTGAAACCTTGTGGAAGAAGCTAGATAAGGCGGGTCTTCTATGAGTTACCAGCCCTACCAAACTGATATATATAGTTACAGTACTCTAATTATGTTTTGAGGAATCCTAACTGTAGTTGGTGCCGAATGTCATGAGAAGCTGACACCATAAAAACCTACCGAATTTGAAGCACTTGGAATGAAACGCACTGAAAATCAAGGGCATTGTTGTTTTATTTTGTTCTTGATAAAAATTCAAAAGTTTGATACGGATGACACCAAAGCAGGCGCATAAAAGACACGGTAAAATTCAAGATCGAAACTTTGAATTATCTTGAACCAAAACTAGTTAGGAAGCATAACTAACAAACCTTGTCTTGATATAGGGATAACGCGATGGCGCGGCCCTTCGAACATCCAATTATCTTCTTCAAGGGATTTAACCACCTTGTTAAGTGCATCCATAAGATCGGATTTTATAACTGCAACGTCGAAAAGGAAACACTCAGATTTCGCATAAACTATACGCATCAAAACAAAACAAAACAAAAACAAACAAAGCAGAGATGCATTCAATGATCAATCGATTTCTTTGATGACAACAGAAACAAGAAACCAAAATTATGTAATCAAATATTTGAACCAGTAAAAGTGGAAACAAATAAATAAACAGACAATTGGAAAGTGAGATTGGAAAGCGAAAAGTGAGAGGAACGAACCAAGTAATGCTTCTTGTTTGCGATCTTGAATGGAAATGAGGTCGGAGGGGAAGAAGAGGTCGTCGGAGAGAGCGGCGGCGGCGGCAGGATTGGAATTGCTTCGTTCTCTTTCTCCGGCTATCGCTGTCGTCGATATCGACGAATGTGCCGGCGATGAATTCGAATTACTCATTCTCACTGTCGCACAAGGAAGAGATTTGGAAATGTATTTTTTTTTTTTTTTGGAATTTCTGAAACTCCTAAAATCCCTTAATTTAAAAGAAGTCAGTATCCAGTTTACTTACCATGATACGTGGTCCAATAAAATCCTAACACGTGTCCACTTTGCCCACCTTCTTCGACCTTTGTCCCTGCAAATCCGAAAGCCTTCTCTTCCTCCAACTTTGGCCTTGGTCTATCCATCCCCGTCTTATCCTCCCTCCTCCGTCGACTCCGCGGTCGTCCCCTCCAACCTCTCTCCTCCTTCGCCTCCCTTCCTCTGCAATTCCGACCACCGGACCTGATAATACATGTGTTCTCCTCGGCGCCCTCCGCTGTCCTCTCTCACCACCACCGGCCACCGCCCCTCGACCGAATCCATGGCGCCTCCATTATTTTGAGATCTGAATCTAACATGAAAGTAGAAACCATGAAGGCAAGAACATCCCAGCCATCAGCCGCCGTTGCCTTCTCCAATTCCTTCCTTCTGGGATTTGCCTTGGTATTCTTCTCCGCCATTGGTTTCTGCACACATTCCTCTGCACATTATTCAACTCATCAGGTCAGTGCTTGGTTTTCTCAGATTCCTCAATTTGTTCACATATTTTTATATGCTTCGTTGGATGTTGGGAGAGAAGGATTACAATTTTTTAGTGTTGAGAAATTTTGAGCTCTTCCAAAAAAACTGGTTGTGTCGTTGGGGGAGTAGCTGCTCCTGTTATACATGTTCATGGTGTGTTGTTGCATAAGCATAGCCCCTCATGTTCTTTCGCCTTTTCTTCGTGTTGCTAAAGCAGGTTGTTAGTTACTCGATTGTAATACGCCTTCGTGTAATCCCCTACCTTTTAGATTTTTAAAATCATGAACAAACTGGATTCACAGTGAGTGCCTTCATGTATTCCACTGCTCAAAACATAAAAAGAAATGAATGGAACAGAACGATGATGTAGGACAATAGGGGATAGAGAAATAGAAGAGATCCGGACTCACTCCGGCCTTTGGAATCACACCAATAGAAAATTTGGAAAAATTCCGGCATCACACCGGACTTCAGCATAACACCAAAGGTGCCTTGGAAAGGTTGTTGTGCCTCACACACAAGCAGAAACTCTAGGCTTTCTTGTTTTCACTAACAATCTGATTTCAAAAGCTTACAAAGTAGCCCCATTTATAGCATCTTTTGTCAAAGTTATCAGTTCCTTGCTTGTATATTTGTCGATTTACCATTGCAGTCCACTCTATATTCGTTGTATTTTCTGTTCGCGCATGTTTTGTATATGTCCTCTCTTTCTTCTATTTAGATACATGTCATTTATGGCTTATAACCGGTGTCCTTGCATTTTTCTACTTTATTAATCTATGTTTATTTATTCTTCCTTTGCTAACCTTTTTGTATGTATTGACGAGCAGATAAGAAAAGTAAACACTATTATAAATTGTGACTCCATCTTCGTGTCTGTGACATATATTTTTCATTTTTCAGGCGGGCAGTGATTCAAACTATGATGGTGGTGGCTCAAATATCAGTGCCTTTTCTAGTTTCAACAAGTATATTATGCAGTCTTATTACGAAAAATATGAAAACTTGTTCGATTCAGATTTCCAAGATTTTGTAGCACAAGAGCTTCCTTTTGGTTTGTGTGAGGTGCTGCCACATGATCTGAGTCTTGTTGTTAGACCCCCAATTTTGCGCCGCAATTTGATAGGCAAAGGTTCTCATCGTCATCTCACCTCATCCATTAGAGTAAACATCAAACCAGAGCCCATATTTGAGCTACCAACTCACCATTGTGAGCTCATAATCATTGAGAGACTGCCATCTGGAGTATTTGCAGATCCATTTGAGCTTCAACATCTCCTTCAGCGTGGTGGTAAGTGTTCCTTCTTGTTTCTGCTCTACTCCCTACGCGCCACAAATGAAAACAAAATACTACACATTACCCTGTTATTTAGAGATGTTGCACTAATTTCGTTTCTTGTATTTCTGATTTTCCATATATTGCAGCATATAGCGCTATAGCTGTGTTTGGAGATGCAAATTTGGAACTGCCTTCATTTCTTTCTAATCGTACCTCTGTTGAGGTTCACATGGATATTGGTCATAATTTTTTATTGAGGCATGACAAAGAGTCTAACATCAACATAGAGCTTCCATTGCATGCACGATATCCAGTAAGTGGAAAGGTTTTGAATTAAATTTGTAACTGTATCTGATTTCCCTGTGAAGATATTTTCACCTCGGCAGGTTCTACATTCGTTCTGCATTTGCATATATGGTTTGAAATTGGGATATTTGGCCTTTTTAGTTGTTAAAACTTTGAGGCATGTGTTGTGCGCTGAGGATTCTGAAACCTGATATATTCGTTATTTTGTATCATTTGACCTTGCTTTTTTTCTTTTTCTGACTGCAGCCTCTAGATGAAAGCGGCTATTGGGAAGTCAAATTTGGTATGCCGGATTTGTTCATGCGTTGTAGCATTGAGGGAACTTCACAAAATCAAAGCTGTTTGTATAAGATGCCAGAGATCAATGGTTCTGAATTAGGATACAGTAAACTTGTCTGGAAAATCCCTTCTGGGATGAAGGCGCATGCTGGAATCGTATCCACTCTCACGTTCGTTGCAGCCTTAATGTCGGCTTTTGCAATTGCTGCCACATCCATTTTTCATTCAGGCATTGCCTCCGGCAAACATTTGAAAGAATCTTAATTCATTAAACATGTTTGTTGCTTTACAGTCATTTAGCATTCATTTATATGAATTGGCTTTCATAACTTGCACCGAGTTCTCCTTTTCGATCCATCCTTTGTTTTTAAGTGACTTATTTCCCATTCTCACTTTGTCATATTGATGTTCACCCGTTTGGTTGAAGAGGCATTGGAGGTTTGCGGGCTGAACAATTTATATGCCACGGATACAAAAATACAGTGACCAAATTGGCTGAATTAAAAGCACGACCAAAATAGGTTTTGACCCAAAACACAGTGATCAGAAAGGCTGTTAACTGCCATTTATTCAGTCAAGGTGGGATTTAAACCCAGAACCAGCATCTGGGTTCTCTCTCTGACAATGTGTGTCAAAGGCAGAGAAAACCTTTAATTTTCTTCAAAAACTTGATAAATTCGCATCGTGCAATCAAAAAGGCGGATTCATAGAACTGTTTTCTCCTTCGGGATCGTCAGAAAAATCTCCAGAGAACGAGGTAAATCAATTGAAGATGATCTCATTTTTGGTTTTGTTTCATGAATTAAGTAGGTTATCTGATTTTCTTTCATCTGTTGTGCGTGTAATTGGCACAAAACCAAGCGCAAAGGCGGTCTAGGATCCATATAGCTGACCTCACTTAGTAGAATAAGATTTTGTTGTTGTTGTTGTTATTGTTGACTATGTAATTGAGTATTGGTTGATTCAATTAACAGAAAAATTTTGAGGTAGTCTCTAGTCTGTAATCTTAGGGTTGATAGGAACCCTAATCTGGTACAATTTGGGATTTTGTGTGCACAAATAAGATCTTGAGCTCAATAGGAGAAGCTGATTGATGTTGTTCTGATTGATGTGGACATAATAGCGTCTTCGGAACATCCATCCCCAGAAAACAGGCTCCTGCTGATTGCTGAACACACAACACACGCATAGTCTCTACTCTGCGCAATATCGAATATGTATCATCCCACTAGGGCGGTGTTCGTGGTGGTCGAGATCGTAAGCCTTCTCTCTTCATATTATATATACACGCGCGCGCGCGCACACACACACACGCACATGTATATAAATGTATGTACATTTTTCTGTATATTCATGTTTTTGTAATTTGTTCTCTGGCTTTTAGATTTTTAGAATCACTAACAAAATCAAATCACAGTGACTGCCTCTTTTCCAGCTCTCTTAGGTGACGTTATAGGCTAAAACCACTGCTCAATGAAATAAAATGAACCAAATGGAACGGAACAATGATGTAGGACAATAGGAAGGGATAGATAAATACAAGAGATCCGGGCTCACTCCAGCCTTTGGCATCACGCCAAAGGTACCTAGGAATCAAATCACAGTGATGCAGTCTTATTTGTTTTTCTGTCAATTTACCATTGCTGTCCACTCTATATTCCTTGTGTTTTCTGTTCGCACATGTTTGTATACTTGTCCTCTCTTTCTTCTATTTACATACATATCATTTTATGGCTTATAACTGGTGTCCTTGCATTTTTCTACTTTATTAATCTATGTTTATTTATTTTTCCCTTGCTAACCTTTTGTATGCATTGATGAGCAAATAAGAAAAGCAAACGCTATCATAAATCATGAACTGCATCTTCGTGTCTGTAAGATTTCTTTAATGATTTTTATCTGTGACGCATATTTTTAATTTTTCAGGCGGGTAGCTATGATTCAAACTATGATGGCGGTGGCTCAAATATCAGTGCCTTTTCTAGTTTCAACAAGTATATTATGCAGTCTTATTATGAAAACGATGAAAACTTGTTCGAATCAGATTTCCAAGATTTTTCAAATCAGATTTCCAAGATTTTGTAGCACAAGAACTTCCTTTTGGTTTGTGCGAGGTGCTGCCACATGATCTGATTCTTGTTGTTAGACACCCAATTTTGCACCACAATCTGTTAGGCAAAGGTTCTCATCGTCATCTCACCTCATCCATTAGAGTTAACATTAAATGAGAGCCCGTATATGAGCTAACAACTCACCATTGTGAGCTCATAATCATTGAGAGACTGCCATCTGGGGTATTTGCGGATCCATTTGAGCTTCAGCATCTCCTTCAGCGTGGTGGTAATTATTCCTTCTTGTTTCTGCTCATTCCTGCGTCAGGTAGTCGACAGCCGGCACTCCATGATCACGTCGAATCCTTATGAAAATGAATTCAGAACAAAATTGCGCTAAAGCTAGGGCGTCACCCGTAAGTGGCGCGCTGTGTGGCCCGAGCACAGTGATAAGTGAGCAAGGGTCGCTGTATCTCCATCGGCACCTGGATGCAGTGTTAAATGAGCAAGGGGGCCATAGAAACTTCTTTTCGAACGACTCCA